AAATGAGCGCAAGATATTTAACAATCTTATTTTTAATGAATCAAAACGGTGGCGAGCTTCGAAACGTGATCATTTAATTAGAGGCGAGATATTTAACAATCTTATTATTGGTTAATGACAACGTTCGCGATCCGCGGCACGTAATTGTTTAAATAGGCGCGAGGAATTTAGCAATCATATTTTTATTTATCCACAACTTTTGCGAGTCCCGGAACGTGGTTGTTTAAATATCGCAAAAAGTTTTACCATTTTATTAATTAATAAATGTATATTAAGTATAATAATAACAATAACATAACAGTATAATAATAACATAATAACAATAACAATAAAGATGAGACTCAATTCCCAACGCGGTTTAAATAAGCGGAACGCGGAGAAAATTTATCGATCAATGAAGGATTTCAATTGCTAACGCGGTTTAATTCGCGCTTTTACAAGAAATTTCATTGTATTTGTTTAAATATTTTATTGTTATTCCGTTGGTGTGTTTAGTTTTGTTATTTTATTATTGTAGATTTTCCTTCAATCTTTAATAAGATTGAACGAATTCCCTGTAGCCCCTTCACGCATTTAAAGCGTCCTTCCGTGCTTTCGCAGTGCCTAACACGGGTACTTTAAATTTATATTTTATTCACTGAAAGAAATATGTGTTAGACACCACACCAAATTATTTTCATGCGTGACATGCATATATGAATATGAATTTAAGCATGCAATATACACGACCGTATTTAAAAGAAAACTATCCGTGCTATTCGCAGATTTGCCAGAGATAGAAAAGAGAAATTTTTATTCTCTTCTTCAAACTTTCATTCTATTGCCGACTGATGACAGCCAGCGGATAAGCGTTTAATTCTACGCTCTTTTAAACAATGCGAAACACGAACGCGTCGCAAGAGGCCATTGTACTAATTAAATTAATAAAGAATCAATTTAATGTTTACTATTAATATTTACTTTATTTCTATTTTATACATGTGATAATACGCACGTTCGAAAAGTAAAAATATAACAATACGTAATAACTTCGTATAGCATAACTGAGTCGACAAGGCACACAGGGGATA